CACACACACACACACACACACACACACATAAACAAACAAAAAAACGAACTTCCCCCCTTTTTTTTTTCGGAGGCCCCGCGTGGCCTCAATTTTTTGTTAGTATTTTTTTGTGGTTTATGACGCGACATCCCACTCAGGTCTAAAACACCCCTCCCCAACCCCTTATTTTCGGGGTGCGCCGCACCCCGTGCGCGCGCGTCGTGCGCTGTGCGCAGTGCGGCGCGTGCGCGGTGCAGCGCACGTCGATGCGCGGCAAATATGATCTGTTCTGATCAGTTTGATATCTTTTTTTTTTTTTTGGCAGTTTGATATCTGATCCGCCATCCATCGGGAAAGAGAAAAGATGTGAAAACCCGAAAAAGAGGATTCTGACACTCTGCAAGATATCGTACAGCACCGTGTGCGTTGCGCAACGGTTGAATCGTCAAGCTAAAAATAACTTCAGGATAATCTGATGGTTTGACAAAATGGACTGTGGATTGCATTGATTTGCCGAACAGGGCCGTCGCTGCGTGCTTGCAGGCGATCATCTGCAGTTGCCTCCAACGGTTCAAAGCGCCGAGGCCGAAGCCAAAGGGTTAGGCATCACTTTATTTGAGAGACTGGATGCAATGTATGCTGCACAAGCTACATCCATGCTGACTATGCAGTATCGAATGAACAGTGAAATCATGAGATGGTCATCGGACGAGCTATATGGCGGGAAGGTAAGACGAGAGAGCTCTGATGAGTGGAGGGGAGGGAGGGCGGGGGGAAAAGAGTGAAATTGGAAGAATGCTCCTCTTTTTTTTTCCCTTCGGAGAATGTTTATTTTGGCACGCTTTCTCCGCTGTGACGAGAGGCATGCCGAATCCTATGGGTCGTAGTGAATGCTGCATGAGCCTGCATCATCTTTTCTTTTTTTTTCCTTTTTTTTCGGGGTGGCGGGGGGCAGGGGGGGAGCGCCGGGGGGTTGTAATACGTGTGATGACTTCAGTGGATACAGAATTTTTTTATTTTTTATTTTTAATTTTTATTATTTTTAATCCATTCATTGATGAGATATTGGCATCATGTGTTAAACATTGACACCACATTTTTCCCCAAAACAAATTCCAAAATTTCAAAAAAAAAAATCAAAAATTCCAAAAAAAAAAAAAAAAATCAAAAAAAAAGGGGAAATTTTCAAAAAAAATCATTCGAAAAAACTTCAAAAAAAAAAAAAAATGTCGACAATCCCCTATCAAGTTAGTATCAACGGCTTTATTCGAACGATTTCAAACTTGGTGCTCTTCTGTTAGGGGTAAAGAAAGGGGTGAGCATGCATGCCTGACTTTCAGGGGACCGAGTTTGAAACCGGACTTTTGTGATTTTTTTTTTTTTTTTTTTGTTGAACTGCGCAAATGTTTTGGAAGTAAGGATTTCATTAGCACATACGTTGAGACAAAGACCTTTCTCAAGTGAATCTGTCCGTCATTGTTTGTCCAACACATCCCAGGGAAGTCCCAGTGTAAGTATCCCCTCAGAGAAGCCAGCTCTAATAATGATCCGAAATACCAAACCATTCGATGAGTTGTGCCTATCAAAATTTTTTAATTTTGTATTTTATTTTGTATTTTTTTTTGTGGCAGACTCGGAGAAGTTATTTATTGCCGTATGTATGTGTGCGGATGTTGCACCATACAAGCACCATAGGGTCTTGGACTGCAGAGCTGGAAATGCTGCCGATACATTCCAAATGCTGGATTAGTGCGAATGTTTCTGGCCCAATGGTGCAGTCAGATACAGGTAGAACTGTGTGGAGTGGAGCAAAGCCCCCAGGATTGCTGTGGTTCGCCTGTGTGATGGAAATCATTTTTAATAAATTTTATCTTATCTCCTGTCTGTGCGCTCGTTCCTGATTACGCAGATCGGGGCTCATCCAACTGTAGCGAAACACCGCCTCTGTGATATGGATGGCGTCACTGCGTGCAATGCTACCGAAGCTGTTCTTGTACTTATCGACACTGCAGGGTAAGGCCATACTCGCATTTGCTCTATCATTTATGTATCTGGCCGCATTTACAGGTGGACCTCAACGTATCTGGCCACAGTTACGTCTATAAATTAACCTGGATGTATCTGACCTTAAATACGTCCGTAAATTAAGTGAAAAAAGCTCCTAGGGTGAGTGTACCCTCAATGAGTCAATGAGGAGTAAAGGAGTTCTGTTGCATTAAAAAAAATATATGTTGCTGATCTTCTTTTTTTTTGTGTGTGTGTGTGTTGCTGATCTTTTTTTTTTTTTTTTTTTTNTTTTTTTTTTTTTTTTTTTTTTTTTTTTTTTAATTTGGACCACCATTTCTCGATTCATGTGTGTCATCCTTGTGCAGGGGCCATGTTTATCTTCTTCTCTGTATCGTTCCAATTTCAATGGATGTCCTGAAGGACCTGAAGGGGACTGTTGCTGATCTTTTTCGTTTTTTTTTTTTTTTTTTTTTTAAGGAGAGGAATGAAAAGGAAACTACAGCTGTCTTCTCCTCATATATGGGGGACAAGCTGTAATTTTTTGCTACCCTATTTTCTTCTGCAATAACCCATGTTGTATGCCTCGTGGAAACTGAGGGCTTCGCCAGGCCACACCCAGTCCCAGGCCAAAAACGGGGAAAAGACCCCCGTTAAAGATTCAGGGCCTGAGCGAGGTACAGTTTACAAAAGTCAACTGTCCGAGACCCCAACAGTCAGAGTCAAAGTGTACCCAGCCCAGGCCGCCGGTCAGACGCACACATTTGTTTGCATGCAGGTACCCAGTCCAAGGGGAAGCCTGCAACTGTACACAATCCAGGTCCTCGGCTGTGATTCAATCTGAACGACTGTGAGGAGGGGACCCGAGGCCAGACAGCCTCGTCAAACACTACAAATGGTCTGATCTCGCGGTGGTCAACATTCAGTCTTGCTATGCTGCTTTGACGCTGGCTCGACTTTGACTAGACGCTGGAATTGACGCTGGCACGACGCTGGCACGACGCTGGCGAGACGCTGGCTGTGCGCAGGCACTGTGGACGACGACGCGGGCGGTGACAGAATGCTGGCATTTTCTGTATTGTGCGCCAGGCATTGCTGGCGTGGCGCTGCCACCTGTCTTCAAGGCTGATGTGGCGCAGGCCACTTGTCCACTTGTCTACATTGCTGATGTGGCGCAGCCTGTCTGCATTGCTGATGTGGCGCTTGTCACTTACCTACATTGCTGATGTGGCGCTGCCACCTATCTTCATTGATGATGTGGCGCATGCCACCTGTCTCTACATCTGACGTGGCATAGGCGACGCTGTCTACATGATGTGACTGGTTGCCACAACGAGGGAGATCGGGATCTGTGGTTGAGTGAGGTCGGGTACTCAGCTGAGGTTGACGGCGTTACTATATTCTGCTGTTGTCTTCATGGTCTTCACGAGATAAGTGTGCGACGTGGCACTTTTTTGTGATCAGAACTTATCAGAATTGTCACTATTATTGATTGATGATGTGGAGGGGGAAGAAGCCCGGAGAAGGAGTGGGATTGGTTGGGCTATTATCGTGTGGTCTCTGATTACTTCTTCCACCTTCTCCCTTGTCTATCCTCCCTCCACTCTCTTCGTCTATTGGTAACGAGATACTGTTTCAGATATCACTTCACGATAACTGGAGTCTGGAGACTTGCTCAGATCTGAGACTACTTGTGGTTTGACGACTAACGAATATCTGCCAGACTGGGTTCATCACGCTTCTCTTAATCTTGTATCTACCTCACCTGTTACATTCTGCATTACACACGGGCCATTCCAGGCCCGACGACAGGACCGAGGGGCTACCCAGGGCCTGGACACGGTAGTCCAGCCCAGTCCGGCCCGGTCCGGCCCAAGACCGGACCTCTTCTCCACAGGCCGCCCCATAGGCCCTTGGACAGGCCCAGGCGGGGACCGGTTCAAACGACATTACTGTTTGGACCTGGCGGCCAACTTTGAGGCTGCCCTCCCCGGGTCTGATCTGAACCGCCCTCCCCGGGTCTGATCTGAACCGCAGATCGAACACGAAATCTGATGGTTCAGATTACGAGGCACTTTCGCAGCCTCAAGGCCGAACAGGCCACCGCCGGTACTTAGGACCGACCGGCGGCCTGTTCAGGAAGCTTCTTCCTTTTTGGGTCTACCATCCAGAGGCACGACAGCAGTTGAGGAGCAGCACTGCGCTAATCTTTGATTAGCACAGCTCCTAGCGCAGCAGCGCTGATTAGCGCTGACTGGCGGTTAGAGGTGGCGGACGGGCACTTACTGGCTTACCTGCGCAGCGCCATAGCTCCAGGTTGAAGCCGCGGGTCTTCAACAGCTCCAAGGCGCCTCCGTGCACCTGCAGGTAAGGACCTTGGTACGGGATCCGGGAGTGAGGACTCTCCTCTCTACTTCGCCATCTCCACGTCTCCTCTGCCCTCCTCGGATTCTTCTTCTCTTTCTTCTTCAGATTTTATTATTCTCTTCAGATCTTCTTCTTCTTATTCTTCAGACCGGAGACTATTGATAGGAGTTGGACAAAGATCAGTGATGGGATTTCGGTGGCAGGAGGACTTGGTGCTTACCGGATCTGAGACATCGGGGGATATTTGAGATTGATACCTGGCGGCATCACAGATCAGACATCCGCTACCTTAGGATTCTGTATCTCAGGCTACTATATCGGTGACCTTTTGGGATTCTATTCCGGTGACATCTGGCGCTGTCCCTATCTCCCACCTCCATCGTCTCTCCTCCCCCATTCAACCGTGTATGGTTGTACGGGGCTGAAGTATCATCTATGTATGGCTTCGGACCCCACCATGTCACGTTTGTTTGTGTGTCGAGTGATGTCTACGTGAGTTCGGTCCATATCTCAGACTTCCGCTGCATATTATATGCTCATCCTATATTGGTTGATCTTTGGTTCTGCCCATACTTGGTGAATGAATTCACTAGTATGCAACATCACCCGATCCACCTAATGGGTTACCTCTATTCAGGCGGAAGCAATTTCTCTATTCAGGAGTCAGCCTTGCACCACCAGTACATTCGAAGAAGCAGATTGAGCCTCTCTTGAAAATTTGGGAGAAGAAGCTCTATCTCTTTTTTCCTTTTTCGGATGTACTGGTGGTTTACATGTAGCAACTATGCCTAAGCTATCCTACAGTTAGGTGCCTTTTTCGGACGTACTGGTGGTTTAAATGTAGCATCTATGCCTTTTTCGGATTTACAGAGGTTCAACTATGCCCTAAGTTAGGCGGGCATATTCCTCCCCAGAATGGCAGGAGCCAGAACCAAGAGGTTCTGATTAAAAAAAAAAAAAAAAAAAAAAAAAGGTGGGCATTTTCGTACGTAACTGTGTATTAAAAACGATCAGCAACCTTGCAACAGGCAGCTGCATCCGAACATCAGGGTACTCAGAGATATCAAAGGAGGCAGGAGAGGAAAATGTATCGGGGGATTCAACAAGAGCGAAGACGACAGAAGATCCCGTTGCCCGCCCTGTTAGAAGAAGTCTCATTCCAGCAAGCGGAGCCGACGGCTGTGGTTCACCTCACCATAGCTGAGAGGATTTGTAGGAGGATGGCAAGCTGACAGTCAATCCTCCATGTGAATGGAGTAATCAATGCTGATCAGGGGTCCTTCGGCCGGACGGAAGGAAGAGTGTGTGTTTGTGATCCTGTTGTATCTTTTATGACTTGCCAGTGCAGAAGGAACTGAACTGACACTCCCAAGAATGGATATCGACCCGGGACCGTAAGGCCCTGTTTAAAAAGAAAAAAGAAAAAAAGAAAAAAGGATAAGCAACAGGCTGTTGCAATCTTTTTTAATACAGGAGTTGTGAGGAATATATCTTGTTTTCCCTGTGATGTGCACAGCATTGAAGCTGAGCTCTGAGGATGTCCAGATACATGGAATTTGAGGCTGACTAAAATGCAGCACCCTCAGTCAACAGGACGTTTTTTTTCGAGGGCACGAAGCATATCACACATCAACACTGCTGAAATATGATTACTACGATGAAGATTCAAGGGATGTGGATGGGATGATGATTCAATATTGTGCTGAACAGATGACCTCCACCTCCACCTCCACCTCCTCTCTGTCAGTT